TTTTAAATTCTCCATTTCCGCTTTTTCACACGCTTTTTTCTTCGTGTTGTCAACAATCTGTGATAGGAGTTATTTATCCTTTGAGTTAATCTGAGATGCAACTGGAGTCTTTTTGCCCTAAGATATTAATTCACTTGATCACAACAAGTAAATGGGCTTGTGGGAAGGTGCAACAGAAAGGCGAAAAAGACTATAATGTGTACATGAAAGTCATGATAGTATTCAGGTTGGTCTTCTACATTCAGTTTTGTGTGTTTGTTTTAGTAAATACATGGATCTCATTGCAAAGAAATTTTGCAGTGAGAGTTACAAAAGGAAAATTACAATCGGTTTTCTAAAACCCAGTTAAGACATCCAGCAGACTGCATGCAGCGGTGAGTGCGTAGTGATACAGGAACTTACAGGAAAGTAAGACGGAAAATACCATTTTTGACTGATAGGTAGTCATCGTTTTTATCCTCTGCTTCAAACCACACCTTCCAGGACCCTTTTTCAGTTCAGTTACTGGCCCTTGCTTACATTACACTGACGTCTATGAGACGTTCTCCAACCTCGGCACGACCTTGATGTAAATATATCAGACCATAAAGGTTGTAATAGGAAAACATTATTTTATGGCGATTTTATGCTGACTGTGTCTCAGTGTCCTCCGCCTACTTAAGCATATTTTGGCAGAATCGGTCTCTCCATATGGTCTTGGCATTGCCGGGGCACTTGCAAGTTTGGCCTTTTCACAGGTAACCTTTAAGTGCGATCCACAAACGGTTCCAGTTGGACATGCTTTTTAATGTCAACTGTTCTGAGGCACCGGCGGGACAGTGGGCAGGACTTGTGGGCTATTTTTTGCGCATAGTGACCAATCTTTTCCTAACAGCCTCGTTCGTGACTCTGAGAAATTACCGTGGGAATTAAGGCGATCCTGTTGAACCTGCTTTTCTCTACCCCTTGTCCCCAAGGGACCACGATATCTTCATAAACCACCAGTCCTTCAAACGATGGAAGTCATGTGGACGTATCCGGTCTATACTTCTCCCGCTTTATTGGCTACTAACCATCAGCGAAATTCCAATCTGGCTCCTAAGATGTCGAGGCCCAACGTCAACTGACGCCTTGTCGCGAGATTTCATGTCATGCGCATCAGAGACCACAAACGAATCTTACACACATTTCATTATCCCATTATGAACGGCTGTTGTAGTACTAGCCAACGCCACCCTTCTATCTTATTTTCCTAAGCAATTTTTTCTCCTTCGCTCTTCATGAAAATAGAGGCCCGTTGAACTCTGTCTCTTTCTTTCTTTTCACGGCCCATTTTCTAATTCACCGTTAACTTCAAAACATCGTCAACTATTGCCCTAAAAGAACAAGTTCTGCGTTTATTATTAAAAATCTGTACATTTTATCTGCGCACATTGTCCTAATTTCAGTCTGAAACAAGGTTTTTATAGATAGTGGCTTCCGGGTGCTAAAAAATATAAATTCCAAATCTACTGAAATACTGATTGAAAATCTGAAATGACTTTTTTATTCGGAAAGTTGAACTGAAGGATGTTCACAATGTTGCTCAGCATGCAGCATAGTCCGAAAAGATTTTAGTCTTAACAGAATGCTGGCTTTAAAACGTGCTTTCCATTGGCAGTCTGCCAAAAAATCGCATTTGGTCAAAAATTTATATTCTTATTATTTTTATACATTTACAGGTTATCCATTCTTATTCATTTCTCTTATTATTATTTTTATTCTCATTGACTTCTCATGCTCTTGCTATATTCAATTGTATGCCTGCATGGTAGCAAATTACTTCTTCTGCAAATATTATACTCGCGAAAATCATTATTTTTAAATATTCACATAAATGTGGACCTGCCTGCTAATATGCTTGCGCCTGCAACGGAGAAGCTGACTCCTGATGCCGAAATCAGAGAATTTTCGAGGTACTAAGCCTTTGCTTCGACGGTTAAACTGCGCATTTCAGCTCTATGAGGTGTACCGCTGTCTGTTTCTGTGATAACTATACTCAATAATGTTAGCCAATGAGATGACTGGCTAACGAGGGGACTTATAACATCATAAATATCTGCATCTCAGTTTCCAAAAAATGTTTGCATTGGTCTATGACTGGTAGTGTCTTTAAAGTGTGCATTCTCCCTTTCTACACTTTCAGTGTATTTTGTAAGGCTGGCAAAACTAAAGAGAGC